TGTCCCTCACCATGCTCCATAAACTATTCATTAGAGAGGAAGCAAGCACCCAGGATTTAGCAAATGGGAGCCTTATTCCAAACTTCACTCTCCTTAAAACAACAACAACAACAACAACAACAACAACAAAACTCCCAAGAAATCCCATTAGTTGTGTACTGAATCACGTTGCCTTACGACTTGCATCCTGTAAGTGCCATTAGGTGATGTCCTGGCTTGCTGCAGTGTCCTTGGGTGGTAGGAGAGAGCAGCCATCGTGCATGAGTACATGCACACACACGTACGTGTGCTGAGACAGGTGGTTGTCCAGCACCAGTCACATGTCAAATAGCAATTTGCAACTCAGAACCACAGAAAGGGTTTGTTTTCCTATTCTGTCTGTTCCAGTTATTTAACTGATGGCAGATGTCCTCATTAAGGGCTATTAGCACATCAGAATATGTTTGCTGAGCCTGGAAAAGAGTTAACCCCTTTTGGACACTGACCAATATATGAGGGCAGCTAACCCCACCCATTAGTGACAACAGCAGGGTGAGAAGCACAAGGTGACTCAGGATCCTCTTAAAACTGTCCATAACTGGGAAGGCTGTTTTTTAGAGTGAGTTTATGCTTCAAAGAATTCTACAGATAACTTCATAAAGTGGGATTTGGCTACTTGTTGAAACACTTTGAGCGTTAACCTGAAATAGATGTTTCTTGATCTCTTTTTGTTGCACTAGACCCATATAGTAAATTAAGGCATGGCTCTTTATGTGGACCACCGATAGCTCCCAAGAGAAAATCCGTATGGGGAATGACTAGAAGTAGAGATGAGGGAAGAGGGGTTTGAAGGAGGCTATAGTTAGACTGAGAGAAGCATGCTAAGGAGGGACGGTAGGATCCTCACTCAAGGTGCAGAGTAGTAGGTGATCCTAGAAAGTCACTCTAGGTCCAGAGTTAACCTGGCTCCTTTACCCATTTGCATCATAAACCCCTGTAGGTACTGCAGTTCATTTCTGAATCCCTGAAGGACTCTGTTGATGATGTTGTCCATAAAGCCATGTCCATAAAATAATGAGTTTACTAATGAGCACAAGAGAGGCATTGATCGCCCCTGGTGATGCTGCCTGCTCTACATTTAGTCTGATTTGTATTCTTCACTTCCATGCTATCAATCCCCAGTATAAACTTTGCGAAAATTTTCCTTAACTTTTGGGATTGTCCCATTATCTCTTTGTGCCCTCTCAGAGGGCAATCAATAAGTGTGTAAAGGTCTTCCTGAACCACTGAATGATTAACAGTGACTTGGACTGTTTGACAAGGTCATGCTAAAGCACTGACCTTTATTTTGTAGGTAGGAGGCCAAGTGGAGAAGAGATTTTCAAGGAGAGAAAATGCACAAAGAAATGGAGAGACTTGTAGGGAGCTATTTTTTTCTATCAAGGTTCATTGACATAGGAAAAAAATACCATGTAGATGAAAAGTGGCTTAATTGACTGTTTTATTTTGAGAGACCCCACACCTACTAGAAATCTCCCTTCCCCTGCCCAGGAGCACTGACTCCTATTTGTGTAGCCTCAGCAAGCTGACCTCTCTGTGGCTCAGTTTCCTCATCAGAAATAGAAGACTGTTGATCTCAAGTTGTTTCTGAGGATTTAATTAGGTACAATCTGTGAAAGCTAGTGCCTATTAGGTACTTAATCAAGGCAGTTTCCCTTCCTTGTTTCTCTTCTGCTTTTAAAAATTAAGATGTGGGCATACTATAAATAAATCAAATAATAAAATGTATTTCAGTGATTTGGGCCAGTTAAAGGAGAAAGGCCAGAGAGAATGAAAGCAAATGCTGGGATGAGCATTGGGTGTTGTATGTAAGTGATGAATCACTAAATTCTACTCTTGAAATCATTATTACACTAACTTCGATTTAAATAAAACTGAAAAATTAAAAAAAAAATTAAAAGTAACAACAAAAGCAACGAAACAACCACCACAACAAAATGAAAGCAAATGCATGTGGGGACAGGCTGGAAGCGGACAGGTTCACCAACTTGACACAAATCCAGCAGGCTTTGGAGGGCTTGGGAGTCACAAACCAAGTAAAAAGTATCCTTTACATTAAAAAAGAAAAAGGCTTACAAAAACATCGTCAGAGTCTGTTAGCCAAATATTTCAGGCCCCATCTGAAGACTGGAAGCCCAGGAATTTTGGAAATATTATCCTTTCTTCATTTTCAGTGCTAGAAACCTCAAACTTCCTGCTGTGGAAAAGTGGGGGTGGCCACTGTGTTTTTTGGTCAAGAAAAGGTTGGGTTTTTTTTCCCTTTTTTTTTTTCTTTTCTTTTTTTTTTTTTTCCCCCTGGATGGGTGCTGCCATCTGATGTCTCCAAGTGGTACTGCGGCTTTGCCTCTAGCTCTTAGGAACCCATTGAAATTAAAAAGTCAGAGGTCTTGTTTCTGGCTGGAGGCTTCAAGGATGAGGGTAGACGACTGAGTTCCTAGAACTGACTTAGCTTGGATGTACTTTTTTTTTTTTTTTTTTTTTTTTTGTAGTGGTAAATAATTTACTTCTTACATTTTTCTTCCTTTTTAGTGTTCTAGTAAAGCTTCCCAATAGTGTTATTCAGTAACACTGTGAAGTCACCAGACAGCTAAACAGGAACTCTATAGGATGCTGTGACTCTGACCTTTTCTTATCTGTTCTTTGCTTTCTAGGGAAATCATGGTAGAGATTCCATGCTATCTGGTTCCATCTGATTCCGATACCATGCTATCTGAAGCTTGGAGTAAAATACTTGTAAAAATGAGCCAGTTACTTTTTCTCGGTGTCTGCAACTTTATCGTTATCTTTTAAACTTATTTTTCCCATTTGTGTTACTGTAGAGATGTTTGCTTAGCATAATTTGCTGGAATATGGTTGGAAAGAGGCCAGGATTAGGAGATGTGGAGATAGCATGGGACCCAAACAAAGCCCCGAGACACTTTGGGACAAAGTAGGGAAAGTTTATGGAACTGTTCAAAATAAGTTTGAATTCATAGCTGTGATGATGGTTTTCTTCTGGTGTGAGTGTGGCCAGGGGAGGGGGAGTGGAAGGGAGGAGAAATGTGGCTGGAATAGTCTCTTGAAATGCCAAACTTAAGAGACTGCAGTAGAGTTAGCCTGGTGGGGAATGAAATATCATTGGCATAGAGGTCTATGAACATCCTTGTATTTTATACCTCCTACAGCACTGGGGAATGTGCTTTGCACATAGCAATTCCTCAACTAATTATTAACTGAATAAATGACTAGGAGGGTACAGAGGACCTGGAATGGCAGAGATTAGGAATGTGCTAGTGAACCCAAAGGAAATGAACCACAGGACAGCCAAAGAACTATGAGTGCTGTGCAGAAGGAGGGCAGCCTGAGTTTGAAAAGGGGTGGGTCTAACTCTTCTGCCAGGAGACCTAGGCCTGAGAGGTAGGCCCCCTGGTAGGCACCTGCCCCTCAAACCCTGTGTAGGAGCAAAGGGTTCAGGTTTGTGGTGGTGAAGGGACTGCAAAGGCCTGTCCTGTTGTTAGGTGACCAGTGGAAGTCAGTTATCAGGAGTTGGTGAGAAGGGCACCTAAGGAGGCTGGGGGAACCAAGAAGGAGGCTTCTGACAGTGCTACTTTGTATTTCTGTCATACTTCACAGGTTGTGAAGAGCTTCTACAGAATGTTCTCATTTGCTCCCCCAACATATTGGTGAAGGGAGTATTAGTGTTGTGATTTACAGATGAGGAAATAGGCTGTGAGTAGGCACTGACCATGTGGTCTGAGGGCAGATCTGTGTTTTCCCTGCATCTCACTTAGTGGGAAGGAAGGCTGCAGGGCAGGGGAGGGGTTTCCCAAGGGTAAGCTTGTTGACTGATTCAGATCACTGAGGGATCTGGAAGATGAAGTTCTTGTTTTCTGGAATGGTGTAGGTGCATGAAAGTCAGGGAGAGGCCCAGAGAACTCCTGAGGGTCCCACCCAGCCCTGGAGTTCACCGAGGGCCACAGTGATTAGAACCCCTCCTCTCTCACAGGAGGATTTTGACTAGTGAAACATCAGACCAAGGTTTCTAACTTCAGTGTCCTCCCTAGCTTTTCCCTCTCTAGAATGTGGAAGACAGTGCTACCCAGTTCCCTGCTTTCTGCAGTATGATAAATGGGGGTACATGGATGCCTCAGAGTATGCTGAAAGGACACTTCCCATTTTTCACAGTGGCTCCTGTTTATCATGGGATGAACACGCCGACCACTTTTACTGCTGTGAAATCAAGCTCTCAGCGTTAGTTTCTCAAGTGTAAAGTAAGGAAAGGAGAGTTAGCTTCTCATTTCTGTGGCTCTTTGCAACTTTGAAGCCAACTAAGCTTGAGAATCTACGAGTCTCTGACAAATGTCCTCATGCTCTGACTTAGCGATGTCCTACATAAGGACCTGACCTAAGGAAGCGTCCTTGGTATGTGTGTGCTGAGGTTGAGCTTGGAGGACGCTCCTTGCAGGCAGAGCAGATTAAACAGCACAACGCAGGATACAGCCCTCAGGTACGATAATAAAGGATGTGTTAAGTTAGCAATGATGCATCTGCCTAAGAAAATACTTTGTGGCTTCTAAAAGCATTTTTTATAGAATAGCATTTAATGATACAGTAAAACCTACACAAACTATTAAGTGAGAATTCATGATCCCATATTTGTAGAAACAAGTATGTAAATATGTATGTAGAAGAAAGCATGGAATGTTACATAGGAAAATTGGGTATCATCTCTGGGAGGCAGCGTTTTGCGTGGTTTGTTTTTCTTTGGGCTTATCAATATTTTCTAAATGTCCTACTAGACTGGCTATTACTTTTGTAAAAAGAAAAATTGTAGAAGTTACTTTAAAATGTTTCATCTACTTTAATGGATACTTCTGGACTCCTGCTGCATGTAGGGCGTTGTACTAAAAAGCTTCCTGATTACTCCAGATAGTGGATAAAGGACTCCCTGTCCCCTTTGCCTCCCCAGGAAAGGCAGCAGCATGGCCAGCGTGCTGTCCCGGCGCCTTGGTAAGCGGTCCCTCCTGGGAGCCCGGGTGTTGGGGCCCCCTGGGGCAGCCCCATCCTCGGAGCCTCAGACTGAGCTGCTGGAAGGGGCGGCTACCCAGCCCTTCCTCGCCTCTAAGGACACTTCCTGCCGGGAACAGCCCAAGGAGATCCTCAAGGCTCCTGGCCCCTCGGGCCTCCAGCAGGTGGCCTTTCAACCTGGGCAGAAGGTAGGTTGATTCACGTGTGGCCAGGTGTCTGATCTCCCCAGGCTTGGGGCTGGCAGGCCAGCAGTGCCCTGAGCGACAGGCCACAAACTCTCTGGGCACCAGTTTGTACACAGACCTTTTACTTGTATCCCTGTGAGCCCTTGGGCAGCAGGCTTCTCTAGAGAACGAGCCATCGTTAGCAGACCCAGGGCTCCTCCATGACAGTGCTGTCTGGTGTCTGTTATTCTGGACTTAGTCCTACTCAAAACCTCAGCTCAAAGCATGGTAAGAGCTCAGTTTCTCGTCTGCCTCTGCCTCAGTTTCCAGCTTGATAAAACAAGAATCTCAGGCTCATGAGAGACAGATAATATTTCATCTTTGAATCACCTTTAGACATTTTCAAGAGGCAAAGGTGTTTGTTAAGTCAGGATGACATTTGGATTTCCTTTTCTAGTGTTCCCTCCCCTTGTGGCAGGGCTCAGTCATCACCTGTACCTGATATTATCACCAGGTCCAAATGCATTGCCTTCTCAAAGGCCCATAAATAGAGACTCTACCTTCTACCTCCTTGCTGAGGCTTCTGTTGTCCAGGCCTCTCTTCCCATGATATAAGTTGACTTGCCAACTGCTAGGCACCCCTTGAGAGAAGTCAGCCTACCTCTCCACCCGTACTATCTAGTCCTCAGGTACACTTAGAATTCTCTGAAGGGAAAAATTCAGAGTGTGATCAATGCAAGGTAATAGTTGGAAATATATATAGGCAGCAGATATAAAGGACTTCAAAGGCAAGACTGAGTAAGACATCAGGAGGTTGGATACAGATTCCAAATTCATTTGGTTAGAGAATTTAATCCATTTACATTTAAAGTAATTATTGATAGGTAAGGACTTCTATTTTGTTAATTGTTTTCTGACTGTTTTGTAGTTCCTTTCTTCCTCTTGCTGTCTTTTTTTTATGAATTGTTGATTTTTTTGTAGTCATATAGTTAGATTCCCTTCTCTTTTATCTTTTGCGTATCTACTAGAGGTTTTTTTCTTTCTGGTTACCATGAAGCTAACAGAAAACATGGTTATCACAGTCTATTTCAAGATGATAACAAGCTAACTGTAATTGTACATGGATTCCATGATCAGAAAATAATTCCAGAAAATGGCATGTTTGCTCTCTCCATCTAGAGAGTTTATACGGATCTGTTTTGGGAAGAACTGATCTACTGTGGCTAATTTGGGTGCCCAGGTGGGAGCAGGTACTTGAGCTGGGAACATGTACTTGAATTAAAAATGAGTCAGAGATAGGGGCACTTGGGTGGCTCAGTTGGTTAAGCATCCAACTTCAGCTCAGGTCATGATATCATGGTTCATGGGTTTGAGTCCCATGTCCGTCTCTGTGCTGACAGCTCAGAGTCTAGAACCTGCTTCAGATTCTGTATCTCCCTCTCTTTCTGCCCCTCCACTACTTGTGCTCTATCTCTCTCTGTCTCAAAAATGAATTTAAAAAGTTAAAAAAATTAAAAAAATGAGTCATGGAACTAGTTTGTGGCAGGTGGATCCTGGCTCTCACAACTGAGGGCATATGGCATAAGAACTACCAAGTACTGACCACTGGTTGCTCTTTTTTTCCCCCCTCAGGTTTATGTGTGGTACGGGGGTCAAGAGTGCACAGGACTAGTGGAGCAACATAGTTGGGCAGAGGACAAGGTGACTGTCTGGCTTTTGGATCAGAAGTTACAAATCTGCTGTAAAGCGGAGGAGGTGTGGCTGGCTGAGCTGCAGGGCCCCATTCCCCAGGCACCAGCCTATAGGCCTGTCTCCAGGAACATTGATGTCCCAAAGAGGTTTGTGTGGGAGCGCTTGGGCTCTGGGCTCTGGAAGTCATGTGGGTGGTGAGGTACGGGGTTGTGGGACGTCTTGTGATGGGAAAGGAATGTGAAAGTCCTAGCTGTCTAGTTGTCAAGATACTGGACAAATGGGATACAGAGAGGGGGCATCCTTTCAAACAAACAAACAAACAAACAAACAAACCCAGAATGGCGTCTTTTCTTCCCTGTAACTCTATTATGAGTGGTATATCTTTGGCATGGCTAAGGGCTATTTTTGCCCCTTCATTCTTAAATTAAAATTAGTAGTTTTTCATGATGAAAGACGGGAAAAATGGCTTAGATCAGGAGTCAGCCAACTTGTTCTGAGTGGGCCAGATAGTGAATCATGTAGTGTGTGGCCCAACCAGTCTTGTCCCAACTACTTAGCTCTGCTGTGGCAGTGTGAAAACAGCCACAGACAGTACACAAAGGGCATGGCCGTGCTCCAATAAAATGTTACCTATGGACACTCAGATTATAATTTTATCTAATTTTCTTGTGTCACATATCAAGAGAGAATTCTTTTATTTTTAGGACCATATAACAATTGTGCCACTCTTAGCTTATGAGCTGTATAAAAATAAGCAGCAGAGCACGTTTGTCCCACAGCCCATAGATTGCTGACCCCTGGCTTAGATCTTCAAAACCGCTGATGAGTGAAGAATGCCTATTTTGCTTTAGAATTTTATGATACAATTTTCCCCCAAGAATGAATGAATATATATATATATATATATATATATATATTCTCATCTCCTAATTTCTATATTATATATTCCATTGGTCTTGTAAGACTAAGAAGGAAAATTGGCCAGTGGGGATTGCCGTATGTTCAGGGTGTACAAGTAGTCAAGCCCCATTCCATTATTTCTGTGTCTGTCTGTGGGTAGTACCCTTGTTGACAGCATATCCAGTGTCTTCAGACCAGACAGAGCAATAGTATTTGCTTGTGAATTCAGTAGAACGCTGGCAAAGAAATTGTTTTGTTATTCTATGGAAATAAAAATTCAAAGATCACACACAAAAAGGGGATGCTAATATGTTTACTATATTACTAGTCTTGGTTTAGCTGCCTCAAACATGGTCCCAGATTTCAGTGGATCTGAACTGTAAAGAAAGAATTAATATAGTCCTTTGAAATAGATGAGCCACCTAGAAATTTACTTCAGAATAACTTTTCATACATTGGCCGTAACTTATAGACAGCTCTAAGTTTACTTCCACATAATGTTTGTATGGATTTTTAAAAGTCCATATGGATTTTTTAACATATGGATTTAAAAAAATTACATGTAAAATTTTATAGACCTCTGGTTTCTAAGCATTGAGATTTACACCAGGAGATTTAGTGTTTCTGGTTTACTTGCTCATTGGCTTGTGTACTGCGTTCAGGAGCTATCAGAACACCTCATCGTTTTTCTTAAGGGGAAGGGAAAAGAACTGGTTAGTGTAATTGCACCTTTCTTAAATTTCAATAGAAGATGAGGAAAGGAGGGTAATTTTAGTGCCTTCGAATTCCAGCATGCGTCTTTTATCCCTGTGGTTGATTTTATTGCTTTTGCTCTTCTTCCTTTCCCCCAAGTAAAATTCTCAATTTTAAGCCACAGTTAGAGTTACAAAGTGAATTTCGGGGACAGTGGCGCTGCCTCCAGGTGTCAGCAATGGCATGGGGACCGACCTGCTTGCATTGGAGTTGACTGATACTAGAAATGCAATTCAGAATGGGTATTTTTCATGAAGAATGAGGAGAGAGACCTTCATGCTTTAGTTAGCACACACACTGGCTGAGTGGAGTGGGGGTATAGAAGGGACAGTCCAGAAGTGCAAGCCGATCATGCTACCCGCTGTGTCAGGAAGTAACCTTTGGCATTTATCCACTTCAATTCAGGAAGTCGGATGCAGTGGAAATGGATGAGATGATGGCGGCCATGGTGCTGACGTCCCTGTCCTGCAGTCCAGTCGTGCAGAGCCCTCCTGGGGCTGAGGCCAACTTCTCTGGTGAGGAAGGGGTCCCTGGTGGGTACTGGGTGTGGCACAGGCCCGCCACTAACTGCCTCTGCTTAGACCAGCCAATTGCCTGGCAGTAGGATTTCCGGAGTCTCTTCTCACTTGGCATCTCAGACTGGCTGAGTGGCATTGAGTTAGATGCTTCCATTCTTTTTCTTCAGTTTCCTCAGCTGGGGAGGAGTTTCCTGGTGCATTGTGAAGATGATTGAGCATGAGGCTGAGCCACACTGGCCACTCGAGTAAGTTCTTCTATGGGAGTAAGTGAGTGAGGCACTTTGGTGGGGGCCTGAACAAGGCCAGTAGAGGAATATTTAGTTCACAGAGAAACTTACTAAATGGTCCCCTAGTGGCCTCAGAAGATTCATGCCCCCATTCCAAGTGCCTAATTCAGCCTTGTAAATTAGTGCGGGCCTACAGGCCAAGGACCTGGAATAAATGAGCTGAAGTCTAACAAATCCAATTGCTTAACACAGAGCAATAGTATGACTTCACAGCAAATTCCTGAATTAAAAGAAAATCCTTCTGGTGCGACCCCTAAAATATATATGATCAGTAATATGGGAGGAAGAAGGGTTGCCTTATGTTAGTAGTTTGACCAGACTGATAGTGAACCTGAAGTTGTTTTTGAACTTCATTATAGGGCTGGCCTAACTTACTCCCAGGGAATAACTTTTCTTCATTGGTGACATCTAACTGAATTGTAGGCTACTTAAAAGCTTACAGGAAAATATGAGTTAGCTGTGAACACTTGTCAGGAGGAAAGTGGCCTTTGCAAGTATCCCTCATAAGGAATTTCCCTAGATAGAAGGTAAATTGAAAGGTGTGGTAAAGCAGGCTCACTTCCTTCATCCAGAGCCTGCCAGACGGCACCTATGTGTGAAGCTGAGCATTGCACACCTGCTCTGTTAGTGCCTGGGAGCTGCACAGGCAAAATGGGGAGGAAAGGAGCCAACTTTAAGTTTTTTAGGAAATTCCACAAGTTTCGGAGATCCAGGAGGAAGATCAGGAAAGTGTCATAAAGGCAAAGAAAATCATTGACTCCAATTCCCATCAGGTCGTGTGCGTCTTGTGTGTGTATCATACATAAGTACACGTTCACACACACACCCCAGCACCAACATTAGACACATCTAACTGATAATATGCTGTGATCCTGATATCTTAAGTCCCAGTTTGACAGACATTTTTAATGGTCTATTAAAGATTTTTTTTCCATTACAGTATATTTCTGATCTTATGGTTGAAGTCAGTGGAAAAATAAGGTTCCTTGGCAGCTAATTATATTGAAGTATTTTGCCAGGTGAGGTCTATGCCTTGCTGTAATAATCATGGGTACTATTTGCACAGAAACCACGTATTCTCTTTGTTCTCTGTACTGTTGGGATGGCTGTGTGTGTGTGTGTGTGTGTGTGTGTGTGTGTGTGTGTGTGTATGTGTGTGGAACAGAGGGAATTCTACACATTTCTGAGAAATTCACTGTAAACTCTCATAGCTGTGCATTCGCAGAGGAGCGCTTTGTTTTCATGGTATAGAAAATCTGTTACCCTTGCCCTAGAAGATCTTATGATCTAAGGTAGAGTCATTTATGTTTTTCTTCTAACATAGAGATTAATGTATGATACCACATTTTTCCTTTGTTTTTTGTTTTTCTCCCATTGTATGTCAATTTGCCAGTTCCAGTGTTTGAGCCATTTGGGCAGTTCCTGTGTGGAAGCCTGCTGTACTATAGGGTGAACCTGCCATTTGACCTGCCCTTTTTCTCCAGAGGCCTGGTCACACTAGATGCAGCATTCTATTCCCTGGCCTGTCTCTCCCTGATATACATGTGTGGGCCTTGGACCTGTTGGCCCATTGGTGGCTTCTGAGTTCTTCCCTGAAGGGTTATCCTGTTTTAAGCCCTACATGTGCATGTTTTCAAGACATGGGTCGCTTCAAACTGGGTTTTCAAGAAGTCATAGCTTTGAGACTTGACAGTGATACTTAGGGAGGGAAGAGTTCCTCCATCCCATTCTCTTCATTTGGAGGAGAGCCTGCCTTGGAAACACGGAATGCTGGGAATTTCAAATGTCTAGATTAGCCTAGAAGCAGGCTAATCGAGCTTGGGAATCGAGCAAGATGAGAGAAAAGCATTAGGGTTTTTATCCTGACCATAAGGGATGTAGTAGTTGACCTTAGAATCCAGGGTAGGGCAGCTGTTTGGAATGGCTACCCATGCCAGCAGGTGGGGCTTTAGGGGACATGGCCATCATATGACACATGTCACAGTTCCCCGCTACCCCCTTCTCTTGCTGTTTCTGTGTCTCAAAATTTCACATTCTCTTGTACTGTAAATTAATCTGGATTTATGGCCTAGTCATGGAGAGTCTAGGTTGGATCTAAAGCAGCAACAGGCAGTTGTTTGTTTGTTTTAAATGTTTATTTATTTTTGGGGCAGAGAGAGAGGGGGACAGAGGATCCCAAGTGGGCTCTGCTCTGACAGCAGCGACCCCCATGCAGGGCTTGAACTCATGAGATCATGACCTGAGCCGAAATCTTGTGCTTAACCAACTGAACCGCTCAGGCGCCCAAGACAGGCAGTTTATAAACTGAAAATTGCACCTGTCTCCCTGTGGTCTTCTTCCTGTCTAGACGCACCACTGGGAGCAGGGCAGTGGGTTCGGGGCTGTGTTGGATGGAAGGGCCTCCCCGTCAACTCGTGATTAGTTTGAACTGGCTTTGCCACTCCATGGTGGGGCAGGGGGAACCCTAAAACCTCTCATTTCTGAGCTCTGGTAAAAGGATCCCTGCTCTGCACTACTGGCCATTTCTTACCACAGCCACGTGGGTAATCATTAACTGACAGACACACACTGCAACTTTGTTTTATGTATTATTAATAGAAAGATAACGAACTCTCAGAAGTTCGTCTTTCCTTCTCCAGATGTGTTGCTTGTGGATAAAAGCAGGAGTCACCCAGGCTGTAGCTAGTCTAGTAAATGTCACACCTCTTGTAGCCATAAGAGCTGGTGCAACTGTTTTTTCACGTGCAGGTTTTGAGGGCCTTCCTGTGTTTAAATTCTTGAAAGGCATTTTTCAAGAAAGCCTGGCCCAGAAGCCCTTAAGTTGGCCTTGCCATCTGACTCTGCTGCTGGAGGAAGGATCCCACATGAGATCCAGCAGGCTTGTGGTGCAAGTTCTCATCAACCCTTTCAGGCCTAGATGCAGGAGGAGGGGCTCTCCCTCCCCACACCCCACTCTCCTCCCTGCTTTTCTTTTTAACATATAAAGTGAGAAATACATTTTAATTAGGTTATCTTTCTATTAACAACACATAAAACAAAGTTACAGTGTGTGTATGGCGGTTAATGATTACCCACGTGGCTGTGGTAGGAAATGGCCAGTAGTGCAGAGCAGGGATCCTTTACTGGAGCTTAGAAATGAAAGGTTTTAGGGTCCCCCCGCCCATGGAGCGGCAAAGCCAGTCAGAGCCAGAGCCAGGAATTGGATTCAGGAACCCAGACTACAAACTAGAATTTCATGGTCTCTGACTGGGGCTGTTGGTCTGGATCTGGTGTAGACAGAGGTGTGCCAGAGGTGTCCCCTGCCTGGGGATAGTGTGTGAGCGCCCTCTGTCTTCTCTCTGGTCAGTTTCCCGCGCGGCCTGTGATCCTTGGAAGGAAAGCGGTGATGTGTCGGACAGTGGCAGCAGCACCACCAGTGGGCACTGGAGTGCGAGCAGTGGCATTTCTACGCCCTCACCTCCCCACCCCCAGGCCAGCCCCAAGTATTTGGGGGATGCCTTTGGTTCTCCCCAAACTGATAACGGATTTGAGACCGATCCAGATGCTTTCCTGTTGGATGAACCAGCTCCACGCAAAAGAAAGGTATGTGATGTGGTGTGGGGCTGACGTCAGCTTGGGGCTGGCTTTGGAGGGTATGGGGGGCCCCCCAGGTCCTGGGTGTTCTCAGGCTCCATCCCATTTCAGTTTTCCTTTGTTCCTCTGTTCCGTCATGATATCCCCAGGAGCCCACTCCTCCTCTTTTATGCTTGTTCCTTTTCACCTCTGCCCTGATCCCTGCCCTCATTGCTGCTCTCACATAGGGCCTGTGTGTAAGGGCCTCTGGCAGGGTCTTACCCACAGCACGAAGCACTGGTGTTGGCAGTGGGACCGAATCCTGGGACCAGGCTCTCTGCCCCTGCCTGTCAGTTTCTCTGGTCCCAGGGAATCCCTTCCCTAGAGCCTTTTGTTGGCTTGTGTTTGAAGGCAGCTCAAGTCTCCACTGGATGAGGGTGAGGAGCGGGGAGGGGAGGGGCACATCCCGATGCTCCCATCTTCCTTTCTCCTAGAACTCTGTGAAGGTGATGTACAAGTGCCTGTGGCCAAACTGTGGCAAAGTTCTGCGCTCAATTGTGGGCATCAAACGACACGTCAAAGCCCTCCACCTGGGGTAGGTATCAAGCCCGGGGCATCTTTGCCTAGAGACCCACTCAGGTGTTCCTCCAGCCTGCCACCCACAGCCAAGAATGGTTCTGAGAAAACGATTTGCTGAGAATACCACCTGGTGCCTATCCCCGACCCCTGTGTCTGGCAAAATAGCCTGTTGGAAAGAGATCTGTGCTTGGAAGGGAAGACCCTCTTCTCATGGTGAATGATGACGCCATTCATGGGGAAGGAGTGCCACCCATCCTGTGGACGTGTCTTCCTGCCTCACTGTAGGGGGCAAGATGTTTGAATTCTGGGTAGAAATTGGGTACTTTGACGACACCTCATTGCGGGTTCTGCACCTGCTTCCCCTCAGGGAGCTGGTCTCCATTAGCTCTGACTCCCCGGAGCCAGAGCTGCTCAGGGAGGTGGAAGATGACCCCCCAGCCCTCTCCCTTGTGGAGAGAGCATGACCACAGGTAGGTGGGGACCGGAGGGGACCCGGGGCAGAGCCAGATGACTGTTGCAGGAAGAGAGACACGTTCTGTGAGAGGAGGAGCCTGAGGTGCCAGGAAAAACCGTGTTCAAGCATGTAATCCTCTATGACGCCTTCTGGCGTCCCAGGACAGGGCCTTCTGGATGTTCTCGCGGGCTCCTTCCCTGACTTATTGGGTGGGCCTGGGCAAGTGCTCTTCCCTCTTCTGCCATGCGTTTCCCGAGGCAACTTGTTCCTGACCCTCACTGCATCTCCTTCCCTCACAGAGACACTGTGGACTCCGACCAGTTCAAGCGGGAGGAGGATTTCTACTACACAGAGGTGCAGATGAAGGAGGAAGCTGCCGCTGGTGCCCCCACAGCTGACCCAGCCCCAACCCCCAGCATGACCAGCCCGCCCCTTGCTCTCCTCCCACCACCTCCTCCCAAAACCCAGTCCTCAGGCCCAGAACACCCTGGCCTGGAGTCTTATCTGCCCTCTGGTGCTCTCAGCAAGTCAGCTCCTGGCTCCTTCTGGCACATTCAGGCCGACCATGCATACCAGGTATGAGGCTGGGGCACATTGGGAGCTCAGCCGTGTGGCCGTAAAGGATGTTTGGTGTCTGACATGTCACTGGCCAGCCTGATCACAGGCCACTGACCACCCTGACCGAAGGCTGAGCCCTTTGGCTAAATTGCTGATCTCTAGCTTCTATAAAGAGGGAAAGAAAAATGACTTCACACTCAACAAATGTGGGAATTCCAGAGTTCTGCATCAGTGGCTGTCATGAGTAGTCACTAGAATCTGGCTGAATCCCTGAGTAACCAGGTGGATGGATTTGGACTGGGGAATCGTTACATCATTGGTTATAAAAGTGGATGGAATAGTGCAGTTGGGTTGCCCAGAGTAAATCTGTAACTTCTCTAAAATTGTGTTACATTAACAAACAATCCAGCACCCTTTGTTTTGACTACCTACCGTGTGTCAAATATTGGGCTAAACTTTTTAAATAGAATAAGACCTAGTCCCCAACCAACCTTGTGAAATGCATGGTTTAGCTGGAGAGAGAAATAAATATGTAAGTTTGATTGAGTATAATGAGTGGTCAAAGTACCTTACGAGAGGCATGAGAAATTGCTGTGGGCACAGGAAGAATCACGCTGTTATGCCCACGTAGCTGGGAAAGTTGTCATGGAGGGGGTTACATGTAGGATGGTCCACATAGGTGCTCTGAACACACAGTTTGCTTTCTGGCATTTTTTTTCTTAAAATCCTTTTATGCCTTCAGCTTGGTTTTATCAGACTCTAGGGTGATTTACACGTTAGTAATTAAAAAGCAGTGCTCTCAGTCAGACAGCCTTCACAAAATGAGCCAGCTCTCCTTCTCATTAGAATGAGTGGCTGCCTGGTTAGTTTATGTTTGGCCAACTTCAGGAGGCCCTTCGGGCAGCTGGCTGACCCTGCAAGTTGGGACCTATAGAGGGCGGCTGCATCCGGGCTTCCAGGAGAGTGTTGCTGCTTCCCAGTGGTTGCCTGGGGACATCATATACTTGGTGCAGTAACACCACCTGTGCTCAGAAGGGTTTTGGACTGCTTCGGGGAACTGCCTGTCGCATGTTCTTGGTAGGTGAGCCAGCTGAGAAGCTAATCCACTGTGATGATTCAGTCATGGGGCTGGCCTGAAGACCAGCTCTCAGAAGGGATCCAGCAAACAACTGGAACCAGGGACTAAGGAGGGTATCAGAGTTGGGCTCGCTCTGCCGGGAGCAGAGTATTCGCGTGCACCCCCGTCTTTTCCTCTTGGAGGCCCATGCTCTGTGGCGGACCGTGAAGTCGCAGGGAACATGGGCGGACTTGCTAGCTGCCTGACTGGGCTCCAGGCTGACCTGCTCTCGTCTCTGGCAGGCTCTGCCATCTTTCCAGATTCCTGTGTCGCCACACATCTACACCAGTATTAGCTGGGCTGCTGCCCCCTCCACGGCCTCCTCCCTCTCTCCGGTGAGTGTGCCTATCTCTGAGCCCGTGGGCCCCCCTGGGGGTAAGCGTCCGCATGTTACCAGTGCTGGATGCCATCTCCCTGCACTTGCCTCCAGTGCCCAAACTTCCTGACGGCCCCCATACACTCTCCCCCTTGCTTGCCCTCCCTAGTGGGTCACAGCCCTCCTAGGAGGTGCAAGGAGTGTGTCTGCAGAGGAGAAGCCAGATAAAGCAAGTTTACTGCCTAGGAAGTCACCAGGCGGGTCTGCAGTCAGTGCGCTATTGAGCTCTGAGTGTGGGTGGGTGCTCGTTAAGGTTTCAGTGTGGAGAGAGAGGAGGGCAGAGAATATGGAGGAGGTGGGGAGGATGAGGGGAGGAGCATGAAAGAAGATGGGTGCTAGTGGGAGCACTGGGAGGACCGTGGCCTTAGGTGGCTTGCCTCTGAGCTAAAATAAATCAGATGTCCTTTTGAACCACCCATAGTGGTCGTGGTCTTAAATATCGCCTACAGGAAGGCATCACACATTGTCAAACCTGGGTGCCTGAAGGTGGCTTTCAGGCAGCACAGTCCCTCCCTCGTCCCACATGTGGTAACTCCATCTAAACTTGCAGGGAGCAGCCCACCAGGAGGCCAGGTCAAGAGCCTCCCCTGTTCAGGGCACTCACTCTTTCCAAAATGTGGTTTAAAGGCCTGTCCCTCACTCTGCAGCCTTTCCTCCCTACCTGGCCCCTGCTCACCTGTGCCTGGAATATTACCAGGGAAGGCCTCCTGCCCTCCTGCCACAAAGAGGGGCTTGGTGGGTGTGGCTGACTTTCTGGTGGGATGGTTGTCTCTCCTTTTGCTTCTGCCCTCATGCCCTTGGCCTGTGCTTACGGCCTCTCTCTCTCCCCATGGCCAGGTCCGGAGCAGGTCACTAAGCTTCAGCGAGCCCCAGCAGCCTCCACCTGCAATGAAATCCCACCTGATTGTTACTTCTCCACCCCGGGCCCAGAGCAGCGCCAGGTGAGACAGTTTGCTCCGTGGCCTCCCTTCTGGCTTCTGTCCTCACTGTCCCCACTATAAGTGTGGGTTCTGAGTCCACCAACCCTAGTATCCTGGGTTAGTTCCCCCAGGGTGGCTGGGGGTGAGGGGGTGGGGGTGGATGCAGGGGAGGGTAGATGCAGGGGCGGAGGCCTTTGTTCCTCTGGCCCCTTGGCTCTTGCCCTTCCAGCCTCTGCTGGTTTGCTCAGCCTCTCGCCTGGCCACTGTCCAGGTCTGCAGCCACCACTGCGTGTCTGTATCCTCCTTACTCTTTTTTGCCAGGAAAGCCCGTGGGGAGGCTAAGAAGTGCCGCAAAGTGTATGGCATCGAGCACCGGGACCAGTGGTGCACGGCCTGCCGCTGGAAGAAGGCCTGCCAGCGCTTCCTGGACTGAACCCGCCCTGCCACCGGCTCATCCTCCCTGCTCCCTGCCCCCACCGGCAGCCAGACCGCGAAAGACAGACGCGTCCCACGCCCTCTGCAGAAACCTAAACGATAAAGAGTGGACATTGGGAGTTTGGGTTCTATTGGCTAAGGTTTAATACGTAAAACATTTCCCCCCTCCCTTTTGGGAACATTTGAGTTTTTAAAAGAAGAAAGGAAAATACTCCCCCCGCACCCCTAAAATAGGAGAGAGCCGAAACTGACCAAGGGTATTCTGCAGTGAACCAGAGACCAAAGAATTAATTACCCTCTCTTTCCCACGTCTCTGTCTAGGGGATTAGTTTGCATGTATCAAAAGAAGGAACAGCTCATTCTGTTTTCCTGCTGAGTTGGTGAATTCTTTGCTTTCTCAACTCTTCCAGAAGGGACTGTGAGCAAGATGAATTTACTTTTCTTAAAAAAAAAAGAAAAAAAGAAAAAAAAGTTTCTGGCTGATGACTCCGAGAGCAGGACCTGCTGTGGTTGGTGGGGGGATAGTGGGGGTATCTGTGCACTTTTTAAGGTGCAGCCAGCCCCTCTTCTCCACCCGAATCCAGGAGAAGGGAGAGCCTGTCCTCACCGAGCAGCTTCTATGGAAGTAAAAGGAAAACCCTTTCTTGATGACAACTGTTTGAATCTGGGTTCTCTCTGAAGTTGGGTTGCATCCCAACAAGTATTGTATGGCTTCTTCTTAAAGCCCAGACTAATAGGTTTTTAAAGACTGTCCCCAAATAGGTGAGCCAAAAGGCTATACGAATTTACTTTTTGAAATGTGGCAGTTAAACACTACCTTGATCATTCTTTCCTCTGTTCCTTGAGGAAACATTGGAGGGTTTTAGTGTTCGTGAAAGCCCTCTGCTGTTACCTGAGTGAATAAACTCCCTCTTGATGTTCCTCCCTCCAGTTATGGAGGTGACACCTTAAAAACACTTTGTTTTCTTTTCCCAGTGTATTCAGAAGCCTTTTATCTGATTCAAGTTCCCTTTCATTTGGGTGAGAGACCCCACCCCCACCCCTGTGCAGGTTCCTCTTTGTCTCTGGCTTTACCTGGGATTTTCCCATTCCCTCTGAAGGCTGCAGTTGGGGCTGGCGTGGGGGATGGAGAGAAAAGTAAAAAAAGGAGAGAGAAAGGTAAGTGGCAGCTTGCCCCCATGTTGGAGCGCGAGTTGGCAGGTTCCCGAGTTTTAGGTTGGGTCAGAGGGCCTGGGAGAATGTGATAGGACAGGACTCTGCCATCAATGCAGGAGGTCTCTGGAATTTTATCAGTGTTGGTCCAGTTTCTGAGATGGGAGGGTCAGTTTGATGTGGTGTGACCTTCTCAGAGGTATCTGCTGAGCACCATTTCTTGCCTGCAGGTGGGAGGGGGAAAGTTAACTCTGAAGAACTCTCTGGAGGAGGGGTTGGGTTAGCAGCTCCTAGTGCTTTAGCCCTCGTTTCTGGAGGCCTGAAGAACTGAGAGCAGCCTGGATTGCAGTGCTTGGGAAGTAAATATGCAAAACTATTCTTGTTGATGAGGGAGATGTGGATGGGGAGCTTGGGGCCCTGCCGATCAGTGCTTAACTAGGACCAGACAAGCTGAGACCTCAAGGGAGGGCATGTTTTGTTTTGGGGCTCCCCTTTCTTTTAAGTCTGACTTGTTTGGGAGTTCGTCAGGCCGGCATGAGCATGGCCACTCGGTGCCCAGCTGTCTGGGGTCCCAGTACTGCACTTATATCCCTGAGGTCGGGGGCTCGAGAATCCCACCAGACCACCTATCCTGGGGCTGGGCAGCAGCGTCTGTCCCCTGGCTGTAACCAGGCCATCCTCTCTTACTCCCAGGTGGAGATACTGGCCTACTGAGGATCCTTTGGCCACTGCATGTGGGACTTGTGCAGGTGCTTGTCAATCTGTGACACACAGAGTATTAGAAAACCCGCCAACCTTAGAAGCATGGTGTTGTGAAGGGTGATAGTGACCCGGGTTTGGTGATGGAGGGAAAGACACTCATTCATAGGTGTCTTTGGTGGTAATGGGTATATTTTTATAACTTAGTAAAAAAAAATGTGGAATCTGTCCCTAAAGCTAGAAACCAGGCCAGCAAGAGGTGGCCCAGTGTCCTTCTTCCTGTCCCTTCTGCTGCCCTGAGAATTAAAAGCTGATGGCAGGTTGTGGATTGTCCTGACTGCTCACTTCCCTCGTTCATCTTCAGATCTTCTTGATGAGGGGAGGGAGCTTCTGAGACGTGAGGACTCTGCCCAGCAGCGTCCTTCCCTCTCTTAATCAGGCTCTTGTTGAGTCTTGTCTTCAGAAAAGCTGTTTTCATTTTCCCCCTCAGTTTGGACCGTGTCGATATAACTGGACAGCAAGACTTCCTCTAAGTGAGGTAGGCTTCTCATGTCTTTGGTACACAGGGCAGAAAAGGAAGAGGAGAAACAAGAAATGGATGAAACAGTTTAAAAACTGAGGTGGCTTTTTTTTTTTTAATGTTTTATTTTGGTGCAGCTTTCCCCTATCTGTATTTGCTCCTCTCTCCTCTAACATGGTGATGGCCTCCTCTAGCCTCTGCCCTCTCGCTCCATCTTGTGGCTGTTGTGTTCTTGACATGTGGTCTGTCCTTGGGGTTGCCCCGTTTGTTCTTCTTGGAGGGTGGGGGTGGCTTGTGAACTGATCAGCAATTTTGCCTGTTCTCTACATCTTTGTGTCTCTCCCTGCTTCCCAGCCCACCTGGGCAGCAGAATCTGATAGGTCAGGTGCCACAGGAGTGCATTTGAAACTAACAGGACTGATTTTTGAAAGAAGTGATGTTGGGAAACCCATTTATTCCAGGGATGTTGACCCTATTCAAAGTATTTCTTGGAATTTACCTTTGGAGTCTGTGGTGCCTGCTTGGAATAGCCTTAATGATACTAAATCTGTACCTATGCTCATTCAGTGCGGAGTCTGGTGAATGATGTCTGTGGTCAAGTGAGATCACAGGCGCAAAGCTCATGGATGGACCAGTGAGGAAAATAGCTTGGATATATGTGGTTCTTAAGCTGGCTGTGAAAGCAGGTTTGTAATTTCAGAGAGCGTTTTGAGTGATAGCCACATTGTGATTCTAAGCCTATAGCTTGACTCCTTGGAGGACATTATTAATTTGGTTGTGGAAACTCTGATTTGTTTGAAGAAATCTGTCCTGTTACTTTCTGGACCTCCCAGGTTCTGACTTTACCAGGGGCCAAAAAGAAAAAAAAAAAATAAGAAAGAAAAAAA